CCCAAGCCCTCTGAGTGACTCCAGGGTTTTCCTTTCGTAGCCTCTCTACAGCAATCTCTAAAGCACCAAACACCATAGGTAAGAGGGTTCCAAACACTGATTGTGTTAGACATTCACCACTGGCCAGCTCTGCCTTCAGGCAGCTCTATGCTTTCACTTCCTGCCCATCACCCTAGACCTGGATGACTAGGGTGCCTGCTGAGAGACAGTGTCTCTTCTATAACTGTGAAGCTGCATTTGTGATATCTTAACTGGTTTGTTACCTAAAATGGCCTACCCAATACCACCACCAGCAGACATGAAAAAGAGGTGAGGAAATTTCACATGCCTACACCCTTAGATGGAAAACTACAGGAAATCAATGGGTGCTGAGAGATGGAGATCCAGTCTTCTCTAGGGATGGGCCCATGCCAGCATCAGTAACTGTACTCATTAGGGGATTGTGTCCTTTTCTGTGTTTGTGTGCACATCTCCATCTCTCTGTATGTATATAAAATTATTTAACAGAGAATTTATGAATGGAGGATAGGGACATTAAATGGGGTGGAGAGAGAGGATGTGGTACAAATGATGTAAATACAGTTCTTGTGAATAAAATTCTCAAAAAGCAAAAGTAAAAAAGGTTAAATCCCACAAAATCCATTGTACAAAATGTCCAAAGAATTAATGAATTTTTTTTTAATAAAAAGTGCTCAACCATGAAGGAAATGCAAACTAAAACCCTGTTAAGACACCATGTCACCAAACTTCAAACCAGGTGAGTGGATGCTGGGAAGATCTCTTAGACTCTTTTGGTGGGTGTACATACTAGTGCATCCAATTTTGGAAATCAGTCTTGAATTTTTTTACAGGATTAGGAATCAACCTTACATACATCCCAGCTACATACCCTTGGTTGTATGCCAATGCATTGTTTCCCTTCCCATAAAGACGCTTGCACATGAAAACACATTGCTGCTCTATTGACTGTAGCTGGAAAAATGGAACCAAACTGGATGTACAGAAGATAAGAATTATGTTCTTCTTGTGCACAATAAACTATTACTCTGCAAAAATATTTAAAGTTTGAAATGTGCAGATAAACTGGTATATTCTGGAGTCCAGCTCTGGGTGAGGGTGGGTTGTGAACTGGGTGGATGCAAGTGTGGCAATGGACAAATGTGGCATAGAACCCTTCTGAATTTCGTTTTATGAGGATGGACAGAGAGTAAGCACATCTTGGTATGACTTGACCTACTCTGACAACCTACACCTTTTACAGGCTTTATGTATACACAAAATCATTTCCTCATATTCTTTAATCATTGCTTACAAAATCTTTTCATGGTACATACTTTTTCTAAAGTCTTCCATGCTTACAACAGTAAATTTCATAAGAACTAAAATCTAACATTATGATAAAATCAATTCTGTTAATTCAATACCTTTTCCCATAAAATTGGTATTGTAAAGCCTTATGGTTATAGAAAAAACATATAGGATGTCTGTATTTAATATTTCCTACTACCTGTTATTTCAAGCTTCTCCTTTATTTTATTTATCTACTATAATGAATATCTGATCTTTATACATAAATCTATTTCCTCAGGCCCTTGTTTAAATTTTTTTCTTTTATATCTGAAAGAAGATCACCATACTTTATTTTGACTTTGAAGTATTGTGTTCTGCTCTTTATTCTTTCTACAATCAGAAAAGTCATGATCTGTCATGTCTGCTGAGGAAGCCAGGCAGTTTATTGAGTCAAAATATTTGTCTCTGTCATAAACTCTTGTTTCAATATGGTCTCTATCATTATTACAATCCTACAAGGAGTAAAAGAACATCAAGATTTCTAAAACTGCTTACTTTGCCTTCAGGAGGGTATAAAGACTTGTCATTAATTTTATAATCAAATATTTTCCTTGTCCATGTTAGTTCCATGTTTCTGGGACAAAACACAAAATCCTGATGATTTGGTTATACTTTTTCAGCTTCTAAAATTTCCATAAGGTTTTCTTCTTTAATGATTTTTTTCAAATCCTATGTCTCATGCTTTCTAATACCACTTAAGTAGTCCATTCTATAAAACACTCAAATTCTTACACAGCTAATTCCCCCAGGGATCACCATCAGTTATATTAATAATATCAGCTTTCATAATGATTGTTACATCGTCACAGTTGTAGCCTTCAGTGAGGGGCCATACCATGAAGGAATTCAAATATTAAACATGCCAAAGACATAGGCAAATGTTGTGCAACATATTCTACCAAGGGCAGTGATGGGTCACTCCAAGTCATCCAAGCAATGTAAGTTTAGTCAGCAGCACCTTCAAGACACTGGGCATTACCAGGTAATACTAGAAAAAAAACCTCAGGGAGGTAAGATTCAAAAACACCTAGCTTCTCTCATATGGGATCTTTTCTGTATACAGCATATCTCAACCACAGTTTCCCCTTTGTCCTTTCCTAGCTGTCCTCCCCGACACCACCCCTCTCCTTTAGATACATTTTCCCTCCATTTCCCTTAAGAAAAGAGCCTCCAAGAGAGAACAAACAAGCATGACAAAACAAGATAAAAGAGGACAAAGCAAAAGCTCTCATATCTAGGGTGAACAAAGCAACTCATTAAGAAGAGAAGAATCTCAAGGTCAGCGAGAAGAGTCAGACATAATGGAACCAAATAGTTGGAAACAAATTTAAAAGGATCCTTGTAGAAGGGAAGCAAGGTTAAAGAAATAGGGACACCAAGCATGGCTAAAATGGAAGTATTGTAAGTAGAGTATTCATGGTGTAAAAGCTTAAAAACAGAACTATAAGAGTGTGGGGAAAGCAAGAGTTTGCAGGAGGCTGGCCCAAAGCAAGGGATAAAGAAGTATGTGCAAAACCATTCACAAAGTAATTTGAGGGATGTTAGAATACCTTTGGAATCAAACTACACTTGTACAGGTGTGCTGCACTTGCCCCTGTGAAAAGTCACCACCTGATTATTAAGTGTGTTTGGTGATAGCATTAACTCCATGGATTTGAGGAGTGGCTATCTGCTTCACAACTAACCAGAAATATTTAAACTATTCCAACTGAAAAAGTGTGCTCACAAAAGTAAACATCTGCCAATCCATGTTGCAGAAAGCTGGCCACGCCTATCCCATGCTGTGGACAGGAACCATAGTTTTAGGTCTTTAATTCTCACAAGTTTAAATTGGATTTTTTTGCTTCCTATTCATGTAACTGTAAATCAGTGGTTCTGAACCTGTGAGGTTTGACCTTCATAAAACATATATTTCCAATGGTCTTAGGAAGTGAAACACCACTCAGTAGCCTAATTTTAGCTAAACTTTCAATAACTATACATAGTTATTGGAGAAAACAACATAGTCCATGCCAAAACCAGATTTAAACAACACCTATCCTCAAGTCCAGCCCTAAAGAAAGTACTAAAAAGCAAACTTCAACCCAAGGATGTTAACTGCAACTACAAAAACACAGGCAGTAGATAATCTCACACCAGCAAATCCCAAAGAATGGAAACACAGACACACTTCTACCACCACCACTGAAAAAAATAACAAGAATTTAAAATCACTGGTCAGAGCCAGTGAAGAGTAAAAACAAAACTTTCAAAGAACACTAGCCCCTGCCCTAGGGCCCTCTTCTCTGTAGGTAATCAC